AGGTCACTATCCAATAGCCGGTTCAAGACATAAGGGCAATACATGTTTGATACTAGCTTTATCTAAAATTCTTATTTATTGTTAATTGCCTTATCGCATGACGATACAAGTATATGTTTAGTCACATGACTTGCATGTGCTCGCGAGGTCAGAAAAAACACAATATCAGAACTACACTAGCTAAGGTAATGTTCATTTATAGTATAACACGATAGGTCAGTCCAGTAATTATTAGTCTATATATTGCTGTGGGGGAGATTTTAAGTCACAAGATGAAATATAATGTAGGGGCAAGAATGGTATTCAACACACACAAAATCTTTACCGGTTTGAAACTAAGGTTACCACAGGAAGCCCATCAAGCAAACTGATCTGAACTGAGATGCTAGCCCGTGGTTATATACTACAATATTTAAAGGATTATAGAACAGAACTCAACATAAAGTGTTCCTGTTCTAGATAAACAATATATGGGGACGCCATAGGAGGAAGATTTCTCAGATAGATGACCCATTTACTCATTTATAATACAATGGGGATAGAATCAGTATGCTCACTCATTTACAATGCGCCAGATTCAAACTGATTTGTTTACATTCATATCATCAAAAATAGAGGAAGAATCATACCTGATTTGGGGTACGTGGCAACGAACAAGTCTTTGTCTTTGACGGGGAGATCTTTAATATCATCTAGAAACTCCTTGTAACTCCCTGCATATGGATTACACCATCGATAGAGCACTTAGACTTAGGATGAACGTATGGAATATGCTTTACATTTTCGCCCATGATGAGTGRTTGAAATTTAACCCTTTGTTCGACGTACCAAGATTTGGTCCTTTATGCACGGAGGCGCCTGACACAGAGGGGCGACAGTGGACGGAGAAGAGCGCGACCAATTCTTTGCATATACGGGTTCCCTGTGTTATACATTTATGTAAATACGGGATCCCTGTGTGTGAGAATTCCACATGTTTCAAGATGGCGGACAAGAGGGATAGATTTGCTGCGAATATCGCCATGCAAGATCAGGGAAAAGCTTATAGTAGAGAAGGATACCATGATAATTCTAGTGAAAAACAACATCAGACGTGCATAGAAAGGGTCGAACATGCTTGTAAGAATTGTGAGTACAGATGATTTTTAAATATAAGTTTATCGACGAAGTTATGTCAAAATGAGCTCAGCTTTGAGATATTATTTTTTTGTTTACAGCTGCTTATGTGAGGTTTATGATGAATGCTATGAATAGACTTGGATGGTAGGCATCCCTTAATTTTAACTCGATTGTTTGCGCACATAAGCTTACCTTATCCTGAAATTATTGAGCTTAGGGGCGATCCATTAGACTTTTGAGGGGGTTGGAAGATCTAGTTGGGGCAAGGAATTTTTTCGGGACTTCAGGTGCGTGCTAGCTTCTTTTTTTTTGAAATTTTACAAAAGCTTTAGTGGAGATGTTTCAAAATTTTGCCTTGCAGGAATTTTTTTTCGGCCCTTTGCACCGTGCAGGTAATTTATTTTCAAAATCTTCCATCCCCCCCTCCTCCCTCAAACGTCTAATGGATCGTCCCTTATATAAGTCCTCACCTTTCTTTAAGGACTTTAATTAATTACTTGGTTAAATATTTAGTTCTATTAATCCTGCAAAGCACATAATATGTGAACCTTGYGATGGAAGACTACTTGGAGGATTTGATCCTGACAGAAAAGAGGTATGAAAATGGACTGACTGTCACACGGTAAAAAATTCAAATCATTTGTAGGCATAAAAGTTTTATTGTCGTCAAGCAAATGATTTTTGCTGATTAGTTTAAACTAAATTTAGCAGAAATCACTCATTGATTGGTAGAGTGACAGCATACATTTTTCATTGCATAGTTGATTGAATGAATTATTTGTTTATCTGCATGGCTAAGTGACAACTTACATTATATCATTGATTGTTGAATTTCACAGTGGTTCATTGTCTTAATAACACAATAATAAATGAATAGTTATCTTCAATTGCAAGGGATTGAAATGCAAGGGATTGAAAACCCACTATGGTATTGTTGATATWCATGCGAGTTAAGTTCT